TCTTTCTTTCTTTCTTTCTTTCTTTCTTTCTTTCTTTCTTTCTTTCTGTGCACATTGTAAACTTAGATTATTTATTCTTCTAATAGTGAAAAACCTGATGTGTTATCCCAGGAATTGGGGATGGAAGGGGCGAAATCGTTTGCTGAAGACCAGATGAGAATGAAATGGGAAAGCCTACATCAAGAATTTAGTACCAAACAGAAGCTGCTACAGAATGTTGTGGAACAGGAGCAAGAGCAAGCGGTACCCAACATTTCATTCATTTGTTTTATTTCTCTTTGCCTTGTGAAACAGGGTCTCCTGTGACACAGGTTGACCTGGAAGGTGCTTTGTAGCTAAGGGTTGCTTTGAACTTCTGATCCTCCTGCCTCTGCCTCTCCAGTACTGGGAATACAAGCACGAACCCTCATGCCCTGCCTAAGTTTAGCTTTTAAATATTACCTAACATAAGAGATACATAGCTTATGCTAAGGTAGTAAAGTATATAATAATCTATTCCCACTGTAATTCTGAAATAAATGTGAAGCCAACTATTCATCTTGCATTTTCTTAACAAGGCATGTTTCCAATTTCCCTCAATGCTTGTCCTTGTTTGTGAAAATTTATCTGGTTTCTCTATAGTATTTTTCTCTTAAAGATGATTACTGTCTGATTTTTGATTAGCATGAACCGCTAAAGGTCAATTTAACTTTCAATGTTGAAAATTATGCTTGCAAACCGAGGATATACCTACCAAGAGGAATTCCATAAACCTGAAACTAAACTGCTAGGTCACTCACTTTCCATTCTTAATCCCAGTCTGGAACACTTTCTGAAGGTTTTAATGAGAAAATACTGGAGCCTTAGAGGGTCTTGAAAACAGGGAAGACCCTGGTCAAGTGGAGCAGTGACTGGCCCATCCATAAGGATGCTTCCTGGGATGGATATTGTGTGATATTGGTTCCACCACCCAAAATCCAAAGCTGAATAGGCACCAGAAGTTTCCAGAGAAGTAATGATTATTGGTCCAGTCTTTGCAGAAGCTGGGAACCAAGGGGGACATCAGAGGAACTTGAGTTTAAAGGGGTAATGAGCAAACCAGGTAGAGCTCTGATGCCTACAGAAGCTGTGTGGCTCAGAGGGGCGCTGGGACACAGTCCCAGGCCTCTGTTCTGAGTTAGCAGTGTTCACCCTAGCTCAGTCTAGGACAGCATTTTTATTTGTTTGTTTGTTTGTTTGTTTGTTTTCTCAATGGGGTAAGTCGTAGGACCTTTACTTTGGGTTCGGAAGGATCTGCTGTTGCCATCATTCTGCCCAGGACTATGTAAGACAGACGAGCTAGCTGCACGAATAATGAAGGATGGCAGCTGAACAGAGATGGACAGGAGCTATCAGGGCAGGAGCTGAGAAGTGGCTGGGATAACAGGGCAGGGATGATTGAGGGGCGTGGCCTAAGGTTGGCAGTGCATTCTGAGATCGTTGCATTTCTTCCTCCGGAGCCACTCATTTCTATCCCGCTTTCCAAAACCTCGTGGCAGACCACACCTTCTGCCTCTTTGTTCCCCCTCTCTGGCCAGCGTGTCTGCAGGAACCGCCATCAGCTGTGGCTGAGAGCACTCCATCCTTGGATATTTTTGTACAGGATCATATCACTAGTACTGTGCCAGGATCACTGTCACTAGTATTCTGTGATAGCCTTTTGCAAAGCCTCCTGTCTTTGTGTGAATTAGCTCTTCCTTACACTCCTGGTCAAATATTTCTCACATCCATAGCTGGATACTCTGAGGTGCATCTCCTGAGTCTGACTTCTGGCTTGCTTTCATGCCACAGTATTTCCCATCCTTCATATGTAAGCTGGAAGACATATAGCCCTGAATTAGAGACTATATTCTTTTGTGACTGTTCTATGTCAAATAAACCTATTGTGTCATGTGCCAGTTTTATTCCTACTTATTTTCCATCTCTTAGATAAAGGCCTGAGCCTACTATTCTCTTTTTTTAAAGACATGATTCTTTAAAAAAAAAAAAAAGATCTATTTATTTATTTATTTATTTATTTATTTATTTATTTATTTATTATGTATACAGTGTTCTGCCTGCATGTGTGTCTGCAGGGCAGAAGAGGGCACCAGATCTCATTATAGATGGTTGTGCGCCACCATGTGGTTGCTGGGAATTGAACTCAGAACCTTTGGATAAATAGCCAGTACTCTTAACCTCTAAGCCATCTCTCCAGCCCCTGAGCCTACTATTCTACTTGCTGTCCACTCAGGCCACAGCACCTGCATGACTCCCCTAGCACCAAACACTTAACTCACTATGGAAAGCACTTCCTGTCAGTGTTGTCTAGCATTTCACATGCTGAGCTCATGACACACTGTGGCCCTTTCCACCATCATCCTTCTGTAACACCTAGGCTGTTGTCCAAGTTTGAGTCCATGCTCCTGACCTTCTTGGCCCTTCAGCTTCCAAGTGGAAGGCCTAAACTGTCCTTGTAAATAGGCTGTTTTGCATCAGGTCACTTCCTTTTGGGAACCTCTGGTTTTCATCAGGTGTGAAGAGCGAATAAGAAGTAGACAGGAAGTTCAGAGTCCCTGTGTGCTCAGAATGAAGGGGCTAAGTTAGCAGACCTCTTTCCACTTGCATCTTAGCATATTTACCAACACTTAGATGGGCGAGCCTTTCTGTTGACTTCATAGACATGGAGACTTGGGGAGTGGAGATGGAAGTCTCAGGATCTCCCGATCTGAGATACACATCTGCATCCAAAGTCTCCTTTTCCCACCTGCTGACTGGAAACTTTATCCACTGGATATATTTATTACTTTCAAGTGAAAAGTCTGACACACTTCTGGGGGCCTAAAACTAAGTAGCTCACAGCGTCAGTGGACTCGTCTCTCAGACGGGGACTTTCTTCATCTCTTCATTTGTATTTAGTACCTCTGGGCAGAAGCATTTTTGTGGATTTGGGGTAAATATGGGTTCATCTTCTACAAACCTGTAATGCAACCCAGGAACTATTTCACACATTCCTGAGAAAGTAAATAGCCATGTCAGGCTCCACTCTACACACAAGCATCTAAGAGGAAGCAGGAAAAAAATAATAGCAGGAAGACACTAGAGCAGACACAACATTTAAAGTGCAACAGTGAAAGCGATAAAGACATGTTCAGGATACAGGGTGGAACGGCCTGGCATGCCCACAGGATGATGGGCGGCCAGCCTCAGAAAAAAATGAGGGGGTGGGAACAGATTTTGAAAGGTCATAGGACTGACTTTGATTTGAGACATCCCCAAAGCCTTTGAATGCCTATCCTGGCCATGGTCCTCATGGGGGAAGTCTAAAAGCAGTTAGAGGAAAAGAGCTGAACATTTTGTCAGGTAGTTAGGATGAATTATTTCTCTGAAGGTAGAGAGAAAGCTGAGAAGACATTTTGGGGATAGCTGTGGCAAGCCTTCAGGCATTTGCAGCGTTAGTATGACTATACAGTTGTTGCTGGACCTGCCAGTGATCTCAGAGTGCTGGAAAACTCCTGTTTCTCTGGATGAGGGTTCCGATAACTGCTTTGTGTGCACTTCCGATTTAGGAAAATATCCCTGGCTCACTTACTCGTAAGTGAGCTGCTCCATTTTCCCGCAGCTTTACAGCAGTCCGAACAGACTCCTGTCAGGTGGCCCACTGTATAGAGGGGAAGCACAGGCTCGAGAGAAATCTCCAGTGACGGCCTTGCTGGATGGACTGACCCAGGCCTTCGAGGAGGTGTCCTCACAGGTACACCTGGGCCATCGTGTGCGTGTCTTGGTCTCGTCTTTCTGGGATTAGTTCATTTGTTCTCTACAAAGCTGTCCCGTCTCTGCCTGTGACCACTGAAGCCCAACACCAGTGATGAGTTCCAGGGCTTAAAGGTGCTGATTTATGGACCTCGTTTTGCTTGGTATTTCACTGTGACTAATTGCTTTTTACTGACAGATGAGTCAGGAGTGGAGGGGTACAGGCAGGGTCTCTTATAGTCAAAGCTGTCTTCAAATGAGCTACATAGCTGAGGGTGACCTTAAACCCCTCGTCTTCCCCTCTTCCCTTCCCAAGGGCTGGGGTTACATGCATGGACCATGACACCTGGATAGAAACTGATTCTTTTATCTGTTTTATGGTCTCTCTGTGTTTCCCCCACTCCCCAGGGTGAAGGAGCAAACAGACAGAGTGCTCACCTGGAGCAGAAGTTGTTTGATGGAGTCTCAGCCACCTCAACCTGGTTGGATGATGTTGAAGAGCGTTTATTTGTGGCCACAGCCCTTTTGCCAGAAGAAACAGAAGCTTGTCTCTTCAACCAGGAGGTCAGGTTGATAATTCCTATCAGTGCGTGAAATGTCAAAGCAGTTACAGTGTTGATAATGGTTAATTAATTTTACATATAAAGAATATTAAGAAAAAGACAGCTTTAATAAAATGCTATTGTGTGCTTTCAATAAATATACTGTAGAACAGATGTTTTTAAATATAAAAAAACCTCTCAAAATATGTATGATTTACACTTTCCTTCTTTTTAATATGTGATAAGAGGAGGAGAAATGGAGAACTCTGGGTTCTTGTGCTTCTCGTATCCTCTCTGAATGAAATACAAGCTTTAAGACATAATTTTTATCAACGCATATTTTTTTTATTATCTAATGACATAAAGTTCTGAGAAAAGTCAGTGCTAGAACAGTTTACCTGTTATCTCTAGAAGTTCCCAGAAGAGACTCAGCTTGTGTCACTATCAGTGTGGTTATTGGTAAGTGCTAGGTTTTCTGGACTCTCTAGGGGACGATGATTTGATTTACAGAAGTCTATACAAGGAGGTGAAACTTTGCTTTCCTCAACCCTAGGCTCTTGCCAAAGACATTAAGGAAATGTCTGAAGAAATGGATAAGAACAAGAACTTGTTTTCCCAAGCATTCCCAGAGGATGGTGACAACAGGGATGTCATCGAAGACACTTTGGATTGTCTTTTGGGCAGATTATCGTTGCTCGATTCAGTAGTGAATCAGCGATGTCATCAAATGAAGGAAAGACTCCAGCAAATTCTCAATTTCCAGGTAACTGAGAGAACACAAAGGGTTTGTGCCTTTTTCAGGGAACAGCGGTGACCATCAGTAGCGTATCTTACAACACGCATTGTGTGTTACATGTTTGTGGTGGAGTGTCTAAGGGCGTGTGTGTGTGTGTGTGTGTGTGTGTGTGTGTGTGTGTGTGTGTGAATGCACACACCCATATGTAGATACAGCTGTAAAGTATGGGCATGAATGTGGAGGACAGCGACCAAACTTGGGGTGCTTCCTCAGGAACTATCCACCTTATATTTGTCTTAACTTTTATTACATATTTTTGTTTGTTTTTCAAGACATGGTTTCTCTATGTAGCCTGGGCTGCCCTGGGCTCACTCTGTAGACCAGGCTGGCCTTGAACTCATAAAGATCCATCTACCTCTGCCTCCCAGAGTATTGGGATTACAGGCGTGCACCATTGTGCCCTGCTCTTTTATTACATTTTAAAAGTTAATGTGTGTATTTGGGGACAGGAAGTATGCATGTGCCCTGGCATGATGCTGATGTCACAGGATAGCTCAGTGTGAGTCCATTCTCTTCTTTTACCGTGTAAGTCCTGGGGAAAGAATTATGATCATCACATTTGGGAGGAAAGTGCCTTTGCCTACTGAGCCATCTTTCTGACCCATTCACCTTATTTTTGGAGCAAGGTCTCCGATGTGACCTGGAGCTCATTGTACTTAGGGTCGGGTTAGGTCACTGCCCCAGGGACCAATCTCTGCCTCCCGAGGGCTGGAGATGACAAGAGTGCACCTAGTTTTTTGTTTTTGTTTTTTTAACATGGGTTCTGAGGGTCAAACTTGGGTCCTTGTGTTTGCCCTACAAGCACTTTAGTGTCTGAGCTGTCTCTTAGCCCATCTTATAAACAGTTTTAAGTGGATAACAAAGAGCTAGAGCATTGCGAAAGACCAGGTAGATTGAACTAAAGATTTAGAAAGCCAAGTTTCATGCTTTCAGATTTTGGAAGGTTGAGAAAAACCACTCAAACTAAGAGTTGAATAAAAGTTTAAATTTTAGCAATAAAAGCTAAATTATCGTTTATTGTAATTTCCAGTTGGTAACAGTAGAGTTTAATCCTTGTCACTAAAGAACATGCAGGAGGTGCTGGGATATAGAAAACACCCCAAACCTCACTACCCAAGGGTTTTTGAAATGGCTGTGGTCTAATTTCTTCTACCTTTCTCAGAACACAGTGGAAACTATTACATTACTTTCCAATCCTAAGGCTTCAGATTTATTACCTTTTGCTGCCATGTTAAAATCCCAGGGCCAGATATGTAATTTTGTACTTATGAAACTTTTTCTGTCTCAAGCCACTGGAAAAAAATGGGAAAGTCACTGATAAACTTTTAGTGTTGATGTCTTTCATGCCCAGTAAAAAGGATTCTTTTCAGAACATGTATGTTTTTGTGGAAGTTCTTTTCAGCCAACATGGGAGAATTTGATGTAATTTTTGAATTGTAAAAAAAGTTACTATGAAGTATCAAATGTTGCATTTTCCAAGAAGCATGGAACTTTCTAGATAGTCACATAAAGGAACAGATTATTACCATTTTCAAATAGTCTGTAGTTTTGAAAATATTTAGTGAAGGCCGGCAGGATGGCTCAGTGGGTGAAGGTGCTCGCTGCCACGCCTGAGGACTCTGAGCCCCTGGACCTACTTGCTGGAAGGACAGAACTGACTCCCACTATCCTCCTCTGACCTTGACCCATGTGCTTAGGCACACATACATAAAATAAAGAAGTAACACAATGCATATGTTTATTAAAGCTTTTATGGGTCATTTTTTCAGGCCCTCCATCTTGGTATGAATCATTTTTAAATCTGTAATATTCCCGCTAGGTAAGTGTTGTTCAAACAGAATGAAAATTAAGACTAAGTTCCCTGAAGCCAACACCCAGTGTTCAAGTTTTTTTGTTGGCGTTGTTTCCTCTTCTTAGTTTTAAACCCAATCCTGCGGGGTTCACTTTGACTCACCGTGTAGCCAAGGCTCCTTGTCTCAACAGACATGTGCCTCCATGCTAAGCCTCA